GCCATTGCACAGCCATGCATAAAAAGCTTGTCAGGACCACTGGTCTATTATTTTCAAGCATTACCATAGCCACTGACTGAGAGTAACTGAAACACCTGCATGTTTTCTTTGCAAAGTCTTCAAATACTTGCACCTCCAAATTAAAAATTCCCTTTTGGAAAGCTGATACATGATTAAAGCCTGGCTGTTGGAGTGTCTGTGGCTGCCTGGAAGTGAACTGAGGGCTCGTCTAATGGATAAAACAAATTATTTTTGTGTTTGAACAAATACAGATAATGCTGACAAATACTTTCCTTATCATGGGTCTAGACTGCAACAAGCACAAAACTCTGCAGAGAAAGAAATAGGTGATGTTGCTGAAGGATGGTAAGAAAAGGAGAGGAGGGCCATCAACTACCAAGCCATTCAATGCAAGATTAATCTTAAATGAAGGTATGTGTGATAGACATGTCTGCTTCAGACTTAGCTTGCTCTACCACTGATATGAGAAACCCAGTACTTCTATGGTAGTTTGTTCGATGTCTTGTAGGCATCCACTTAAGATGAGCTGACCCTTGCCCTTTTTAGTACTCACTTCTCAGTCCTAGCTATACAAGGAGCCCAGGATGGTCACAGTAGAGTTACCTGCCTATCCTACAGATGTAGCTGTCTAAAAAGTGAGGTGAGATTAATCTACTGTGTAACCATATACAAGGCACTTACTACCTACCTTAGGCTACAACCACACTCCAAAACTGTGACGTGATGGGGTCATGTCCTCAACTAACAGTTATACTGGGCCACATTCCCATGTGTGTGCGATTTTAACCCACAAAAACCTCTTTTGCTAAGTTTACTGATAGTTTATGCTGTTGAAGAAGATGGCTTACATGCATTGGTAAAAGTCCTTCATGCTGGTATAAATTGTGCATTCTATAGAAGAATTGGAGTGCAATGCCTTTGTAGACTTGGTACGATGATAAATAGGTCCACGTTAACAGAACATTATACAAACTGCAGTGTATACTTGTAGAACTAGCCTGCTGAGAGACACCTCTGGCAGAGATCATATTTTCTGAGATAGAAGTTATCTCAGGGAGACCACAGTGATCTTGACAGTAAGCATTGTAACAACATGGGCTTTAAAGAAGACTTTTCATGCAGTTTGCACTGCTGGGAGGCTTCCCAGAATAGCTACATGGTTACACACATGTTCACATGTATGGGTCAAACTTCCTCGGCATTAATCAAACCTCCTTTGCACCAAGAAGGATGAGAGTTTAACAGTGTAAGTGCAAGGGCCACAAAGGGAAGAGATGAAGAAAACTGGTCATTCGTTGCCTTTTTAAATCAAATATTTTAAAGTTTGATGTCCCTAGACTTTCTGCCACTTAGCCAATGTATGTTTAAAATATATATTTGTACATGTGCAAGTTTGTGTGCATATACACATGGACATACAGTTTGATTAATTCATTTTCTTCTTCAACTGAGGGAAACGAGTAGCTGAACTGAGATAGTTATTTTAGTGTAGAGGAGCCAGTCAGTAGAGTGATTATACACAAAGTGGAGTTTTCCTTTTTGACAGTATGGTAATTAAGAAATAACCATATGGTGATCTGGGAAATCCTGTTCCTTGACTATGGACTGCTCTCAAGTACTCTGGAGTTTTGCATGCTCTGTGACAATTATGAAACAACCACGAAGTATTATATAAAACAAAGGGGCACAATCAGTCAAATGACAGAAAAGTTGATAGCAAGAATGATATATGCAAAAGTAGCTGCATAATGTTCTATTTTACTTACTAATAAGTTGAGACAGTTTAATATAACATCATAAAGTTATGCAGTACAGTGTTTGTTCTCTTAAATCCTGTATTGCTTCTATGCTAGTGCCTCTAAGTGGCAGAATTCCAGACCTGCTTATGTGTTTGGGTGAGTGGGTAAGAGAGATTTGTTTCAAGGCAAATTTTTGAAAACGAAAAGTCATTCATTAAAGCCCATGTTGTTGCAATGCCTACTGTCAAGATCACTGTGGTCTCCCTAAGTATTTAAAAGACGGGTAGATGAGGCGCTTAGGGACATGGTTTAGTGGGCATGGTGTTGTTGGGTTGATGGTTGGACTCGATGATCTTGGAGGTCTCTTCCAACCTTTAATGATTCTATGATTCTATTGTTCCAAGGCAAATTTTTGAAAACGAAAAGTCATTCATTAAAGCCCATGTTGTTGCAATGCCTACTGTCAAGATCACTGTGGTCTCCCTGAGGTAACTTCTATCTCAGAAAATACGATCTCTGCCAGAGGTGTCTCTCAGCAGGCTAGTCCTACAATTTTTGGTTTTCTACTCTCTTTCAGTGTGGTTCAGTTATTTTGTTGGCATGGTAAGTTCCAAGATTACTGCCAAATGTATGAAGTAGACAGGATAGAGCTTCATGCTGTTCTGTTTGGATCTCTGAGTCATACACCATTTTATCTTCCTGAAGTAATTGCAGCATACTGTATTGCTCCAGTATTCTAGAATTTTACCTGAAAAATTACCTTCTAGATCTTTAAAGAACAGAAAAACAGATGAGTTTTCTGTGTCTATTTATCTACCAAGAAGAGACTCACAATTCCCTTAACATGTCCCACAGATGTAGTCTAAAAACCAAAATATATTCTTAAACTATTTAGAGATATTTTAGAATATAGTTGGATGGAAGACACTATACAAAATAAAACATCAAGTACTTCTTTCTCTATATTAACAAGTATTAACTTACCAAGAATACTCAAGATAGTTGTATAAGTTTTTCCAAAATTTATCTCAGAAATATTTTGCTTGCATGTCTCATGCAATCAATGTATTTGCTTAATACTTTGGGTAACTGAGAAAGAGAATGTACCTTTACCAGTGAATATGTAAGGTTTTACTTTCATCCATGCTGAAGTAGATGTGTGTCATTTTTAAAAAAAGAACTTAATCTCTCCTGAATGACTCCAAGATCATCCTCTTCTTTATCAGGCTCTGAACCTACTTACTGACTCTTAAATTGCTCATACTCACAGATTAAGTAAGAGGAAAAGAAGGGATGTCAAATAGATATGAAAAAGGTAGAACAAAACACAAGGGTGGAAAGAAACTGAAAAAAACCACGCCTGATAATTGTTTTCTTCTGGAATGAGGCTGTAAGGCAGGGCGATAGATGGTATTTAAACATGAAAAAGGAAGTTCTAACTGTTGGTTCAGTCATCGATTTAACAGGGGGCACACTCTGGTCAGGTGGACTGTCGCTCCAGTGAAACAAAGCTGACACCCCTGCTCTGCGATGCTGCGCACTGACAAACCTCCGTATTTCTCACCTTTATAAATCTGACCGTCTCTGAAGCAGCATCCGGATCACTAACCAACTTTCACCACTGTCAGCTCTCATAATTGAGGGCATGAGTGTCACCAGACGTTTGCTTTGCTCACTTCCACAGAAGACGGTTGGTCTCATATGTTGTGAGAAACAGTATCATTTTTTCTGCAGAATTTCCGACTATTCTAAAAATGAACAGATAGAGCCTGTGTAAGTGGGATCTTTGCTAAGGAAGTCATATTGAGGGAAAAGAACATATTATTTACCCTTCAAACACTCTGCAGACTGTTAATCGCATGCAGCCGCGCAAGAGGCCGCCGTACAAGAGAGAACGCACGACCGCCGGAGGGTCCGCTAAGCCCCAGCTGCCAGCGGAGAATGCCGCCGGCCTGTAGGGCATTCCCACAGCTGCTCGCACCGCCGCGGCCCTGCGGAGCCTCGCGGGCACCCCTGAAGGGACGGGGAACGGCCTCGGCAGCGCCGCTCCCCCTGAGGCTCACACGGACCCGGGGCTGCTCGGAACCCCTAGCAGCCCGGCTTCCTCCCAGACGCCGAGTCTCGGGCTCTCCGGGACCCCTCCCTTCCCACGGAAGCGCCATCCCGCCGGACCGCTGCAGCGTGTGCCCACCCGTCTGGAGAGCGGAGGCCTCCCCGGCGCGCGGGAGGCGGAGGAGGCGGAGGCCCAGCCCAGCCCGCTCCACTCAGAAGCGCC